TTCCTGACAATGCTAAAAATAGGAAGCAAAAAAACAATAAAACTTTTCCATTTTTCAGCATGCCACTCCCCTGCTCAAATGATTTGTGATTTAGTTTTTTAAATTATTATTTTGAAAGGGAAATGAGATGCTGATTATTTTTAAACATTGCCTTCGAAGTTCAGATACATTTTGTGCCTTTGGTTGTATTGGTTTTTAAGGGTCTTCATGGCTACGACACTCACAAAGAATGTCTTTGTAATCATATTTGGTAAAATTCTGGTTTGTGAGATTTTAAAGTGATCCCTTATTTTTATGTAGCTGAAAATAATATTGGAAATGCTTGAAAATTACTTGCCAGTTCTGTTAACACTAATCCTATCCACTGAAGACAGGACAAATTGTTAACCAAGGGGACTGATGTAGTGTCTCATCTCAAGCGTGTCACTGAAGAGGCCAGTATCTCTAGGCTTAGCTCCTGCTACGAGTCCTGCTTTGGGAGGTTGCCCTCCACTCAGCTAGCTATACATGACACCTAGGAAAGTGAGCCCTCTCAGTTACTGGTGTAAAGCTGCATGGCAGCAGTACCCTTAAGAGGCTGTTTTCTTCATTCAAAGCCACCGTTGCCAGTTTCTTACACCTCTGCTTCTTCAAGATGCATTTAGAAGCATACCTGTTAAATTATGTTTTCAGTTAGGGATTTCTTTGGGAACAGACAAAATAATCGGGAAAATAGTAGTTTTATTACATTTGAAAGCTTACATTAAATTATAGATTGAAAGTTGGTGTACTTTTGCCTTCTTGTTACTAAAACCCATTCTAAGACCTTTGAGTCAACTTCTGTTTAACTATTTCCTGTCGGTATATTAGCTGGGATCATATACCTTCTCATTGAAAGTGAGGTGGTAACCTGTAGATACTTTCATGTCTTTTCAGAATAATGTTTGTGTTTCCTTGTTTACTTGACAGCTCTTTAATTAGAGACCTAATGTTACCAAGCCAGGTAGCACAGGGAAGGTGTTTATCTGCCTGGGCCCCTGAGGCTGGCAGTTACCATTCTTTACCTTATCATGTCTTTGTAATCAATGGACGACTCAAATCAAATAGGCACCTCTAGAGGGCAATTCATCTGTCCTGTGTTAGGATGAGAGGGATCATGTTCTTTTGGACCACACCTTGCCGTGCATGATATTTTTCTTAAGCATTAATTACAACAAGCTTTATCAACGGTGAACTCAGCTGTCATGACAGGATCTCTGCTGGGAAGCAAAGTGTTACCTTTCTGATTACGTTTTTTAAAACAAACATACCGAACAAAGGCAGAAGCCTTGTGCTAAATTATTTACTGTATTTTTGCATAAGGCGCAGTGTTTCTGAAAGGTAATGTCATCAAAGCAATAACAGATCAGAAATAGAAATATAAATAATGTCGTTATTCACATGTCTTGGACAGTATCCACATGGGAGAAACCAGTTGGTTTTGAGAAGAGTCAACGTGATAAGCATTCTGAAGAGCTGGCAGAAACAGATTCCAAAGACTCTGAATCAGACTTGGAAGACAGTGAAAATGAAGCAGACAGTTCAGAAACAAATATCAAGGTAAGTTCTTTCTTCAAATTTATTTTACATACAGCATTAATTTCCTAGCATAGATAATTATCTTTTATCTCTTGTGATAGGCTGTACTCCTTGTAATGAGGTTAAACCACATGACTGAAAGCAGAGCTTGGCACTTGTTTGAAGAGTAAAATTAATCTTTTTTCAATTATTTGGCCCATTAGTCACACTGTTTCAGGACAGAAAACATGATCTTTCCTTCAGCCCACCCAAAGTAGATTGAATCTTACAAGAAATGGGATGTTCTCTGAGAAAGGTCACTGTCGTCTCTCCAAAATAATCCACACATTGACTTGGATTTCAGTGTGAGGACATGACTTCTAACCTTCAGTGGTAAATTTGACTGCCTGGAGAACTGGGACTTCAAGGAATGCCTTTGACTGAAAATTACATTGTTGTAGTTTCCTCATTAATTGAGAAAAACATTGGCAGCATGTTGTACAAAACCTGTATCAATTATATATTTTTGTCTTCAGATTTAAAACTTAAGATAAAAGGTGTGATTATGGCTCTGGTTGGATGAGAATTTTTTTCTGAAATGGGTAGTACAGAAGAGGCAGAGACAGTTTAAATATAAAATGTATTCATAGACAGGTGTTAATTCTACAATATGTATTTTTTGTATTGCTCTGTGTCATTAAAACTACTACTTGGTAGTAGCTGTAAAGCATGTGTATCTGCAGGCACAGAAAGCTGTATATTAATGTGGGCTGCTTGTTTGTTTTTTTAAACATACTTTAAGTTTGCATTGGCTGCTCCTTGCTAACTTCAGCCTTAATAAGTGGGATTTTCCAACTTTTAACTATATGAGTTTATTGTTTCAAGTTACTCTTGGTTGAAAAGTATGAATAGTAGACAATAGTAAATAAAAGATGTAAAATAAAGCTACATTGTGTTTTTATTTAGGCATTTTTGCTTAAGATGGGTTTTTTCCTCTTTAGAGGAAAGGAGATAAAAGTGAAGAATCAGAGGAAGGGAAAAAATCTCCCAGAGCTAAAAAGTTAAGTCCTTACGGGAAATGGCGACCAGTTAACTCAGAAGTAAGTGTTGATAAAGAGGAGAGTACTTCAGCTTCCCAAGAAGCCTCCAGTGATTCACCTAACAAGACCAACCCTTACGGAAAATGGAAAGCACTTAAGGAGGAAGGAGAAGGAGAAGAAGAAGCAGAAGCATGGTGAGGATCTTTTAACTCTAGTTCTTTTCACAGTATTTGTTTCCAGAATATTTGTTTTCAGAGCTGAAGCTTTTATTTCTGAATTCTGGCAGAATTAGCGCAGCAGAGATTGTAAACACAGCCCAAATGCAATTATTTCCACAGTGATTATATAATAGCTTTGCCTGGCCAGATAATGATGGTGTTTTGGTTTTAGTGTAAAAGTTCTCCATGAGTACAAAGTAAATTAAAGTGATTTATAGGATCCCTGTCATCCATAATTATTCTCAGAGGCTGAGTATTAACTATTTAAATGTAGTTACTCTAAGCTTATGGTCCTTAACATCATCTCCTTCCACAATCTGGTTCAGCTGCCTCAGGAGCTCTTGTGACTGTTTTCTGAATGGCTTCCAGCCTTGCAATAGCCCAGGCAGCTTTCTCAGGGCCTTTAGCTTCCACCCTAAATTCTATTTCTTTCTGCTGAGTAATTAGTTGGACTAAGTCTGGCTGCAGTTCAACATCTATCTTGATCTTCTAGGGCCAGAAGCAACCTGATCTTTATCATACTGGGTTAGCATTCCTTTGAATTCCTTCCCCATGGGATCAATAGTTGCTGACATAATGAGTATGCTTTTTTAGACACTGAGCAATGTCTACCTAAGCCTGGTATGTTTGGTCGAGTTATTTCCACAGGCAGGGAACAATTTCCTACTTTGTGGTGTTGTGCTGACTCCAACTGTTCACTTGAAGGACACAGCCTAAAAAACACTTCAGATTTTTTGTCTCACTTTCACCTGGTATTGCAGCAAAAGACTTCTGCTTGAACTGTTTTTCAGGATTTTTTGTTCCCTGATTTCCCTCATTTCAAAACAAAGTTAAGCAAGACCAAAACAAAATTCATTACAATCTCTTCTGTTGTCACTATGGGTAAGTCTTAGAAGTTCTTGCAGTGTGGTGGGAGACACTTTCTACAATGATTTCAATAAGGAGATCGAAGACAAAACTTATGTAGTCTAGTTATGCCAATTTTAAATCTGGAAGCTGTCTCACCCTCTCCCGTGTCCAGCCAGTGCACTGCGGATGTTTTCATGAGATGCATCTGATCAGGAGGGGTTTGTTTTGTCTTACTGCTTAATGCATGAGAGGGCTCATTTTCTCGTGCAATGTTCAGACCAGTATTAGTGGTGATCCTCTCCAGAGCTGGTTCTCCCAGCTTGGGGTCATTGGCTGATCTGGTAAGCCTGTTCTCTGTTCTGTCATGCAGACCTTCTAGGGCGGACACCTGCGGAAAACTACATAGTAGCATTTTGGCAGGCAACTCTTGCTAATTACTCACTGACTACTGTCTCTCAACATTTTAGATTTACATGCTGCAGTGCTGTTGTCTTCTACAGGACTACTGACATGAACAATGCTTGGGCCATGGTATAAGCTCTGTAGAGAATGAGGTCTTAGTTTTTTTACTTTTCATACAAGCCCACACAGAAGAAAAAATGAAGAACATGGGGGTTTTCTTCATGCCTGTCAAGATGATGATCTTGGCCAGAAAACTGCATAGAGCTCAAAACTGCTTTGCCAATTAAATATGTGTGTTACTGTCTGCCGTACAACATCTTGTTTTCTCCATGCAGATTAACCCTTCTATGTTTTCCTCTCTTCTCCCAGTGAAAAAGTGGACCTGGAGCTTCCTAGTACAGAGAATGAGAGTCTACCACCTCCAGTGGTAGAGATTCCAGAAGATGATACAGTGATATTTAAAGAGAAGACAGTCACCTCCCTTGGAGACCTGACCGAAGGGGTGCCAACATTTAAAAAGAGGAAATTTGAAAATGGAAAATCTAGAAACTTAAGACAAAGACTAAGTGATCAGTAATACCTAACACATAAATTTAGATTCTGTTTAAGCTAGAGTGAATCAAAAGTTTAGTATTTTAAACAGGCTTTTATAAAGAAAATGTTGGATAGAAATTAAGGATTTATAAGTATTAAAACATATGTGAGTTGTAATATTTTTCTATTTTATTTTGATGTGATTGATTTTGGAGTGGAATTTGGTGTTTTATTACTTATGCAATATTGTAAATACATTTATTTTTTATTTTAACCATGCTATCTAAGTTTGATTTGCTGTGTTTGCTGTTTTAAACATATTGTGTAAGGTTTTTTACTCCCTTTCTAATTATTGGAGAATTCAGTAATCCTTAATCTGGCAAAAATTATGCTGACCTTTTATTTTTACAGAGTTAGTGGCATGTACTAGAGAGTAAAATCATCCTCCACGATTGGTTATTTGGAGTAGCTTCCTAACTACTGAGTAAAAATATGCTTACTAACCTTTGGCTCTTAGCTTGCAAAAGAGTAGGTGGTGAGAATGCCAACATTTCAAGGAGATCATTTGAAAGCTGCTTTTAGAGGAGTTAGTCACATCAGCGCCACTCATTTCAAGTAAGACATTTCTGCACATGCATGATAAATGTATTAAACCTCTGCAGAAGATTTGAACCTGTTAGATCTTCACTTTTAATAACAGCACCAGAGCCACCCCCATTAGAGTAGGTGTTTCTCTGGTGTCTTCCTGTTGTGTTTTGCTTCATTATTGTCTCTACTTGAATTTTTCTTTCTTTTCACACATGAAGTTTTTTCAAGTAAGACATTTCTGCACATGCATGATAAATGTATTAAACCTCTGCAGAAGATTTGAACCTGTTAGATCTTCACTTTTAATAACAGCACCAGAGCCACCCCCATTAGAGTAGGTGTTTCTCTGGTGTCTTCCTGTTGTGTTTTGCTTCATTATTGTCTCTACTTGAATTTTTCTTTCTTTTCACACATGAAGTTTTTATTTTCTTTTTTTT